TGGGGGTTCGAAATCCTGGGAAACCAACAGTCGCATGCTTTGTTTTTGGAATTTATGTATTGGAATCCTGATTCGCATGTTTTGTTTTTGGATGTCATATATTGGAATCCTGTTTGAGGGGCATATGGAGTCCCACCAGCCCTTTAGGGCTATAGGTGGTCCAAGCAATTTGGTCCCTCTGGACCGCGCGCGCAGAGCCCAAGATGACATCCAAGGGTGGTAAGAGCTCTAGGCTCATATTAGTCCCAAGCCGCAGCTCCCTCACGCGCTTGTACCACAATGAGTTGTTCTGGCCACCGCTCTGCCAGATCAAGCGGACACCGTGGGGCAAGCTCGGTTTGACCTCCACGTGGTGCCCTGGCACCCACCCAGCGTCGATGATCCACACTGGGGGCCATGGTCCCCATCCAGAGGGGGTGAAGACCGCCTGGTGGGGCCAGGGCACGGACCACTGCGATGAGGTCTGTCGCCCCACGGGGCGCAGGAGGGGCTCCGCGCCGCGCCGTCCTGATCCACCGTCGATCGGGCATCCAACGGCCAGATGTCCTGGCCCTCGGAAGACCTGGGCTGATATCGTGGGCCTCCATCGGCCGCCATGGGCCGTGGCGGTTGGGCGGGGGGCGATCGTTGGGCTCAGGCCCTGAGGGCGGGACCTCCAAGACCAAGCTCACACAGTGCAAGTTTTCGAGGCCTGGAGGGGCCTCAAGGCCTGGAGGAGACAGCTCCATGAACCAAACAACTGACGGAAAACATGGGAGAGAAAAGGATCGAGAGAGGTGAAAGTCGGCACAGCCAGGGAAAGAGAAACGAGTCCTGGAGGTCGTGGTGCCCTTCCCTCCTTTGCTCGGTTCGGCTGTCCCCCTCATTGCTCCCACGCTTCCCTGCCACATCTACTCGCCTGGGCGTCTTGTCTGGCTTGGCGGGTGGGGATACTTGTTTTGCGTCGCGACCGCAGGCGAGAGCGCCAGCGGCGAGTAAGGTCCGAGCGGGCCGCGCAAGAGCCTAATTGCCTAACGCCGACGGACCAGCGGCCAAAGCAGCACCAACGCGGGCGGGCCGGCGAGAGGGGGGGGGCGGGCTGCAGTTGCCAGGAACCAGGCCCAGGAGCGCGCACATGCACGATGAAAATCGGGTGGGGATATTTTTTGGTCGCGGCCGCGGGCGAAAGCGCACACGGCGTGTCGTAAGTCCGGGGCGCGGGCCTACTAATTGACAACAGCAAACTAGAGTCGACAACCTAACTGCCTAAGCGGAGCGGGTGGGGATACGCGAAGTGTCAATATTTGATGGGGTTTCCCTCGTGCGAATGCATCGGTCTACAAACCGCACGCATGCATATAGTGCAGAGGCCATATCACTCTAGCAGACCCGTCGGCACCTGCTCGCCTCATTCCATGGGCCAGCAACTCGCTAGACAGGACTAGGGTCGGCATCTCGGCCCGCCCATATTTAGCATATCGGCCGCCTGCGCTTCGGAAGGCCCACATGGACAGGCACGTCCAGTAAATGCCGTCAACACAGAAATGATACCACACTTCTGAGGAACCTCGGCGCCTCGCGCCGCCCAACAGGACAACGTCGAGATTGTTGAACACTGCGCCCGTTCCAGCAATGAATTGCTAGATATGTCGATGTGGCGCGCACTTGGGAACAGTTCACTCACAGACAGGCGCAGCTGCTTTGGCACCGCATGCCGATTGCTACGAGCGCGCGCGCAGAACCCCTTCAGGTCAGCAGAGTGTTGGCAGCACAACTCTTCCATGAGCCCCCTGGTGTACCAGACGCCTTCCGACCGGCGGTTCACTGCGAACTTCTTCGGGTCCTGCTGCCTTCGCTCGGTGACAAACGTGCCGAACAGACAACCAAACAGTCGGTACTGCGGGCCGAGATGGGCAGCTTGGTGGCGCTTGAAGTGCCAGCGTTCTCGCCCATGGACCTCCTGAAACTGATGCACGTAATGCGTGATGCCATCGTGCAGCTGGGCTGGTGAAGCCTGTCTGCGCGATGCCCACTGCAGAATCTCCGTGCTGTCGCAGCAGCGCGATACACATTCGGCTGCATCCTTGAGGGGGGCCAAGCTCTCCTCCGCAGAAGCTTCGCGGGATAAGTACCTCCGAACGATTGGTGACGTTGACAGCTACTCGCTCGCCGTGGCGGCCAGCTTGTTGGTCTCGAAAGTATCCGACGTATGTTTAAATGCCCGAGGCCATGTCCAGTGCTGCATGTTTGCGTGCAGGTCGGTGTATTCCACCGCCGCCGTCTTATTCCTCCCCGTCGCCGCCTTGGCCTTTGTCATGAATGCCTCGAGGTCGTATTCGAACGTACCCGTGATGAAATATATGTGGGGCCAGTCGTCCATGGTGGTGTTGGTGGGCTTGAAGGCGGCATCAGCAGTGATGTAGTTCGGTCCGTAGCGGAGCCTTCTTTCGGGTCTCCAACTCGCCGTACGCAGTCTTGCCTAGGACGGCGTTTGCACCCAACAATTCGTCCAACAAGGCTCGTGCAGAAGCGTCCGAGTGCGGTTGCCAACGGTCACGCTGCAAGTTGTCCAACGGCAGGTGGCCGTATCTACCTTGCGTGGCGATGTTTCGGCGCACAGGGCAAGGCACTATGCCTCTGTGGCCCATGCTGCTCAGGACTTCCTTGCTGGCTTTGAAGTCCGCCAGTGTCCCGTAACGATACGCAAACAGCCTTATGATATCAGGGGTGCCGTTTTCGTTCTCACGCACTTCCAAGCGAATGCCAGTCTTCGTCAGGTGATGCGACTTGTCATTGAAAAGCATGTACTTCAGAACATGCTTGGCTACTTGCGACATGCCACTGTGCATGGTCTCAGCAATGAGCGACGGGGTACAGGTTACAATGGATCACGTCTCCTCCGATGCACGAGTTCTCCCAAACCCGCGAATGTCCAATAGAAGCTCTGCACTTTGCGTTCGTCCTTCTTGGATGAAAGTGGGTTCGTGGGGTTGACCTCGTCGAAATGTATGATGAGTCTACACGGCGGAAGTGCAGAGCTGGGGAACTCGGCCAATTTTAACTTCAAGATGCGTCTGAAGGGATCACACCCCCGCACGGTACGATCCAAGAGGGCAAATGGGTGATTGGAAAAAAAAACAGTCCCAGCAGTCCAGTCACTGAGAGTAAGCTCCAAGGGCTGCACCACTGGGCCGTATGGCGTGGGCTCGTTACAGAAAGCATGGCGGGCTCGACCCTGCGAGCGCGAGCTGATCGCGCTCGGGGCCCCGTCCCTCCTCACTCTTTTTCAGGACCGCCTCAAGCTCCGCTGCGAACCATAGGAGTCGCGACGCAGTTCGTGAAGGTCAGCACCCTTGCGCTTCATGCCGCCTGGGAGGCGTGGGGGGCGAGAGGCAAGATGTCGGTGCGAAGCATGGTCTTATTCAGGAGGGGAAAGAACACATAGACACAATTACTCGTCGATTCCCCCGAAAATGTAGGAAAATATGGGAAGTGGGGGGGAGACGGAAACCCAGAAAATATGGGAAAATATTGTGAATCCTGTTATTTGTGTGTATTTTTATTTGTGTGTCCCAGGGCCCCTTCAAAGATGTCGGCGCGAAGCGCGGCCTTACACCCCACCAGAGCACACCTTAGGCCTCACCAGACACGGCGGCGAGAAGACGGTCGCAGCGTGGTCGGGGGGCCACGAACCCGCATGCGAGAATTCGCCTGGCAAGCTGGCGCCGCCGCCCGGCGGCAGCAGCGTGAACGTCGCTGGACGCGCCGGCGGGGACGTCCCACGCTGCGCGGATCCACTTATTGTCCGACGAAGGCATCTATACACCACCACCGTGCCAGACCAGGGCCATCCTGGGCTGTGGGATGGTGTATAGACCCTCCTGGCCCGGCCAGGAGGGCGTATACACCATCCTAGGGCCCAGGATTGCCCTGGCCTGGCACGGTGGTGGTGTATAGATGCTTTCTGCGTATATTGAACAGGAGGGCTGAGCGCCCTGGCTCGGGGAGCTCCGGGGCGAGCGCAGCCCCTCCCGCTGGTCGCAGCCAGAGCCTGGCACGACAGGGACGGCGGGCTGTCCGGAGCGACGCTCCGCGACCCGGGCCGGGTCTGCGACGGCGTGGGTGCCGACGTCCCTTTGCACGACCTCCTTGTGTGTCGCGGGGGCAGCAGGCCTCCTTGCGAGCTCCCGTTGTACCCTGTATATCAATCGTCTGCGCTGCTGTCGTCGTTGGCCCCTCGTGGCGCCAGGCTGGCGGCCCTCTTGGCCTCCCAGCCGCGAGACTTTCGAGTTCGAGTAGGCCGCGGCTGTGCCTGCGCTCGGTGCTGATGATGCGTTGTTTCTGGTGGATAGCCCTTTCCTTGTCCAGCCTGTATGCCTAGGGGTTCTTTAGATACCTTTCTCAATTCACTCCAGCGTGATAACTGGGCCCCGCAGAAGTCGCGGCGCCCCACCGCAGTCCGACATTGAAACTTTGTCAGTGCTGTCCCACTCGCAAGGTAGCAGTCGCGGAGTCTGTGTCGCTTCCTCTTCCAAGCGTCCCATCGAAGCCCTTTCATTTCCTGAGTAAGGTTTGTGGTCCCGGGGCTCAGAAAGGGGCAGGGGTTGAATGGTTGATGCATGAGTCCGCGGGCTTGCGCTCGTTGAGCAGCTTGCTTCCACCAGTCTCGTCGCTTCGCTGAGCCCATTCATTCTCTCATTGAGTCGCATGCGCAGTGGTTCAATATATTGATTGCTTGCTTTTCAGAGGACGTGCGAAACAATGTACTGCCGTGATGGTGAGCACGTCAAGCGCAGTTCATGGCGAAGCCTTAAATCGCTGCGCTCGGTCGGTGGTCATGTCAGATCCTCCCCGCCGAGGCCAGATTGAAATCTCACCCTCCTTTCTCGCGTCGTGGCCCTTCTCCTTCTTCCTCTCCCCCTTCTCCTCCTGCCTTTCATCCTGCCTCTTGTCCGTCAGTCCGTGCCGTGCTCCGTCATCCCTGCCTCGGCTTTTGCTGCCCTTCTTCCAGCCGGGCGCAGGACTACCACGAGATCTACCGCATCGCCACCGCCCAGGCTCACGGGCTCGGAGGAGGTGTTTCGGTCAAGTTGCTCCTCACATTGGTCATGTCCCTCTACAGGAGGAGTATTCAAAAATAGGCAGAAAATTTGTCTGGAGATGATTTTCCGAGTATTATCTTGACTATGCTTACGGATGTGTTGATATTTTTTGTGTGTTTTCTCGGAGTTCCGCCTGCAGGAGGACATTTCCGACAAAGCCCTAGCCTCGAAGAAGAAAAGTTGGCGCAAACATAAACTTTGGGCGCCCGCGCGGATTTTTCTTGGATCCGCGCCGGGCCCCCCTGGGCGGCGCCTCTGCCGCCGCCCCCATGGCGCGCTATCCGCGCGCCAGGGAGGGGGGGAGGCCAAGCGCAGATCCCAGAGAAGTCCGCGCGGAGCGCCAAGAGTATGTGTATGCCGTTTTTTGTTGTAGGTCACCCGCGTGGTCACCCGCGTGGTCCCCCGCGTGGCCCGACCTAATATTCAACAGCACCAACAAAAATACTCTGGAGACGATTTTTCTATGATCTTTGGTTACTTTGGACGTTGTCTTGACTGTTTCTCGTTTTTCCTCGACAATCCTTCTGTAGGGGGACATGCCTGACCTGAACATAGTCTGGAGTGCCGCCCCATTCAGTCCCCGGCCGTCCCCCGCGGGCGGGCGAGCGAGCTCCGGGGTTCGGGGAGGCGGCGAGCTGCGTGCCCGGGCATTCAGTGCCCCGCGGGGGCGGTGAGATCTTCGGAGACCAGGGGGAAAGGCTCGTCTCGATGCCTCCGATTCGATTCCGATTCCGATTCCGATTCGGTTCGGTTCGGCTCGACTTCGGAGATTCCGATTCCGCTCCGATTCGATGTCGGATTCCGACGTGGGCTCCGCTTGCTCATTGGAGGCCTACCAGCCTGCCCATGTCCGCCGATTCGATTTTGCCCGATTCGGCTGCCGATCTCCGCCGATCCGATTCATGTCGATCGCCGATCCGACTTGTCGATTCGATTCTGGGCTCTCCTGCCAGGGGCAAATTGAAGGGCTCGGGAGACCGCAGTGAAACAGAATCGCCAGAGGTCGAAGGATAAAAAACGGCACAAACATAAACTTTTAGCGGCCCGCGCGGATCCAAGAGATTCGCGCGGACCTCCGAGTTTTCATGTTTGTGTTATTCTTCGTTCCCCTAAGAATCGCCAGAGGGTGGCCGCGGGAGGCGAAAGGGGGTGTTTGGCTTGTGGGGCGGAACATCCATCCCCAAGCGCTTGTTCCTCGCCGACCGGGGATCGGGTTGCGCCGCTGTGGCGCGCTCATCATCGTCCCATCGGCGATCTGCCGCCGATCCCCGATTCCGGGTCGTTGTGCCCCGCACCCCCCCCCCCCCCCGAGCCGTTACCGTGGAGGCCAACGCCAAGAAACCCCCTCTGCGTGCCTCCAGGGGCGCCCTGGGTTTCTTGGGTTTCGATGGTTGTGCGATGGAAAGCGTGACGTTCCCGCACCAAAAAGCAGTGGACGCCCTGGGGTCTCAGGGTTGGGCTTCTTGTGGAAGGTGCCTTGTGGTCGGGCCCCTACTGTACGGGACCCCAGGCATCAGCGGGGTCGCTCAAGGCGTGCCTGGAGATGGTGCACACGTTCTGCTTCCCCTCGCGTCGTCACTTCGTCTGTCGTTTTTGCTTCTCGTTCCTCGGTCACTGGGCTCCTCTTGCGCGGGGAAAAACACATGTTTTGCTCCCTCGCGCGCCTGAGGCCGAGAAGATGGCCCCTGCCGTGCGTTGTTCGTCCGAGGTCGACCAGACCGACCTCGCCCAGAAGACGGCGCTCTCGGACGCCCATGGTCGACGGAAGCCCTCCTGTGCTCCACTGCGGAGGTCGGAGAAGGGGTGCAGCACAAAAGGGGTACGGTGCCACTCGTGGAACTGGCGATGCCATCTGCGATGAATCACAGCGCCAGATTCCCCATCACATGAGACTAGCACCACACCCCGTTATACCATACAGCCAAGACGCTGACATGAGGACCGCTTTGGGTTCGGAAGGGGCTCGGGGATTCGGGTCGCTTATTAGAGTTGTGTCGCGGGATTTGCTTGTGGCCTAGCCCCTTTGTTCCTTATTTGCCGTTCCTTCTGGTAGCACCTCGGCTGCACCCCTCTTCTGCCTCAGGACCCGCGGGGATGGAGACCGCCCCGGCGGCAGCCGCGAACCCGAGAGCCCCGCAAAACTGCGTGCAGTGGAGGCCGAAGCCACGAGACGCCCCTCAATGGACGTCCTGGGGTCTCAGGGTAAGTTGGGCTTAAGTCGGGCGTGTCCCTCTACAGGAGGAGAATTCAAAATTTAGTTTGGGTTTAAGAAAGAGGGTCTGGGGGCGATGTTTTGCTTATTTGCGTTGTTTTGTTTTTTTGTTCCTTTTCTGTTGGGGGGTATTGGAGAGGCCTGACGGCCGGTGCCGCCGACCCTGATCGAAAGGGCTAGGAGTGGGGGGAGGAAGCGGAGGATGAGGAGGAGGAGGAGGAGGAGGACGAGGAGGAGGAGGAGGAGGAGAAGGAGGAGGAGGAGGAGGAGGAGCGGGAGGAGGAGGAGGAGGAGGAGGAGGAGGAAGAGGAGAGGAGGAAGTGCATCCTTTGTGTGCCCGCTCGAAGAAAGTGCGCCCCGAGAGTGTGAGATTCTGACTTGGGACGTGCTCCCGGAAGAGGAAGAAGTGCATCTCGCGCGTGCCCGCTCGAGGAAAATGCGCCCTAGGGGGGTGGTATTTTGACTCGGGGCCCGCTCCCGGGACGCTTCTGCGGGAGGAGGAGGAGGAGGAGAAGGAGGAGAGGAGCAGGATGAGGAGGAGGAGGAGGAGGAGGAAAAGGAGGAGGAGGAGGAGGACCAGGAGGAGGAGGAGGGAGTGGATCCCGTGCGTGCCCGCTCTAGGAAAGTGCGCCTCGGCGGGCGTCGTATGTGCCCCGCCCCCCCCCCCCCCCCTGCGGGGAAGGGATCAAAGGGAAGGGCTTCCCTCCGATTCCACTACGACGTCGTGTAATTTCGCTTTGGATAGCGCGCTTGAGGAGGAGAGCCCTGGGAGGGGGAGAACGGAGACGACGGAGACGACGAGTCGAACGGGGAAACCCCTCACACACGCCGACAGGGTGGGCGGATTTTAACTTTTCGTTCCACATCCGCCTGTACGAGGACATACCCGACCTAAGGTTGGGTTTATTGTGGAAGGTTTCTTGTGGTCGGGCCTCTACTCTAGCGCAAGGCCTGCTCCTGCTTGGACTGGCCGTCATTTGCCTTCCCTTCTTCGGGGCCCGCCATGACCTGTCTGCAACTTTCGCTCCCAGGACGCCCAGTTCTGCACTCACTTGCGCGCTTGCGCGCCCCACGGGCGCGCAGGTAGTTGTGGGAGGTGGTAGCCTCGCCCGTGGCCAGGCGTGTAGACTTCGGCGAGCTACTCTCGCCCTTAGCGCCTCAGCCCTGGCTTGTCTCTTCTTGAGCACACTGCTCCTATCAGCGTGCGGTTCTCGTTTTCTTCGAACATCTGCTCTCGCCGTTGTCCTTGAGTTGCCGAGGCTGGGACGCCGAAGCGCTGGGTTCGCATGCGTCGGCGGAGGTTAAGGCCATACGGAGTAACTCCATACGAAGTAAGTCCACAGGGAGTACTCGGCCTTCGTCTCGGCTGACTCCGTGCGGTCTTGAAGGGTACGTCTATTCCGAGCAGGTCAGTACGGATGGTCTCGGACTCTGTCTGGACTTAGCCTCTGCTGAATACAGTCCACGCGTGTGGTCATTGAATCATGTTTTCTCGCGTGCTCAAGAATAACATGCTCTGACGGCGCAGCTCTCCGTTCCCCCCTCCGTGGCCGAGCTGCACTAGTTTCTGCCTTCTCTATGGTGCACCATGTGATGGGCCGATGCACCAGGAGGGGGAGAAGGAGGAAGAGGAGCAGAAGGAGGACAGCAGGAGGAGGAGGAGGATGCGGAGGAGGACCGCCCCATACTCCCTTTTCCCATGTCCTGCCTGTGGCAGTGGTGGAACGAACAAGGGGCCCGTCACAGCTCGCTTCGCCGTGGCCCGGCGCAAACCTGACCGACTGGGTGCGCTCGCCGCGCGCGCGACCGGCACGAGCTGCGTCGGACTCCTTAGGGGAACGAAGGCTGACGTCAACATCAGAATTCGGAGGTCCGCGCGGATTTCTCGGATCGGCGCTGCACCCCCATCCCTGGCGCGCGGAGCGCGCCAGGGGCGGCGCCAGAGGCGCCGCCAGGGGGGCCCAGTGCGGATCCGAGAACTCCGCGCGTCCACTATCTGTTCTAGCCTAGGTCTTCCGCGCCAATTCTATCATGGGTCTCTGCTTCGTTGCAGTTTTCATTTGTTCTCGGACTTCTGCTCTTGGACTTCCAGTTAGTTTTCTTCAATCAGTGCTTGCACTGAAGGGGCCCTACCAAACATCGAAAGATTTGGCGAAAGTGTTCCGCCGGGTTTGGTGGCCAGCTGGGTTCCCGGGTTCCCGGTTCCGGGTTCCCGGTTCCGGGTTCCCGGGTTTCTCGTCATCCGTTCTGGACCGTTCTCGGTAGGTCCCGGGTTCCCGGGTTCTTGGTCGATGTTTCTTAACCTTCTTGTTTTGGGTTCTCGTTTTGAATAGAGCAGTGTGGTTGCCCTGTCCTCCTTCCTACTTCCTCCTCCCCTCTCCTCCCCTTCTCCGGTGTTCCCCTCTCCTCTTCTCTCGTGCCGTCGGGCTGCGATCTGCGCAACTGTCGCCACTTTCGTGGGCTCCTGGTAAGCTCAGCGGAGGCACGTCATACGCGGACCACCTCGGGACCTCGCCGCCCCCTGGGGGGCTTGCGATCTGCGCAGCTGCCGCCACTTTAGTGGGCTCCTGGGAGGCCCAGCGGAGGTGGGTCCCACGCGGACCACCTCGGGACCTCGTCGCCCCTTGGGGGGCCTTGCGATCTGCGCAACTGTCGCCATGGGCTCCTGGGAGGCCCAGCGGAGGTGGGTCGCACGCGGACCACCTCGGTACTTCGCCGCCCCCTGGGGGCTTTGCGATCTGCGCAACCGTCGCCACTTTCGTAGGCTCCTGGGAGGCCCAGCGGAGGTGGGTCCTACGCGGACCACCTCGGTACCTCGCCGCCCCCTTGGGGGCTTGCGATCTGCGCAACCGTCGCACGCGGACCACCTCGGGACCTCGCCGCCCCTTGGGGGGCTTGCGATCTGCGCAATTGTCGCCCATTGCGTGGGTTCCTGGGAGGCCCAGCGGAGGTGGGTCGCACGCGGACCACCTCGGGACCTCGCCGCCCCCTTGGGGGCTTGCGGATCTGCGCAACTGTCGCCATGTTCGTGGGCTCCTAGGAGTCCCAGCGGAGGTGGGTCACACGCGGACCACATTAGGTCCTGGCCGCCCCCTGGGGCGGCTTGCAATCTGCGCAACCGTCGCCACTTTCGTTGGCTCTGGGAGGCCCAGCGGAGGTGGGTTGCACGCGGACCACATCGGTACCTCGCCGCCCAGCGATCTGCGCAATTGTCGCCACTTTCGTGGGCTCCTGGGAGGCCCAGCGGAGGTGGGTCCTACGCGGACCACCTCGGTACCTCGCCGCCTCCTTTGGGGGCCTTGCGATCTGCGCAACCGTTGCCACTTTCGTGGGCTCCTGGGAGGCCCAGCGGAGGTACTCCATACGCGGACCACCTCGGGACCTCGCCGCCGAGCCCTTTTGTGTTCATTGTTTGGGCGCGTTTCTTTCAGCGCCCCTGTGTTTCCATTTTGTATATTTGCCGTTCCTCTCCTTGCTGCGCTCTTCTGAACTCACTGCTGGGTGCTCTTCTTGCGCACTGCGGGTCCTTCAGAATGCCAGTCAGCATTGAGTGGTCATGAGTAGAATCGCCACATGTCTAGAAAGGGTTGGGCACGTCACAGGGTAATTTGTTTTATCGAATTGTTTTATCGAACCATCCCCTGATTGGGTTTCTTCTCCGTGTTTTATAGTGTTATGTTATTCTAGCGCTTCTGTTTTAGGACTTTGCGTTAGTTTTCTGCTTCTCCTCTTCCAGGTCACCCGCGCGGTCGCGGCTGTTGCAAAGAGGGCGCTATGCGCGCGTCGCGGCCTGGGCCAGGGCCGCGGCATACTTCTCTCCCCCAAAGAGGTGGGCGCGGGGGGGGGGGGGGGGGCGAAGTTCGGTATCGTTTAACCATCAAATTACCACCCCAGTTGGGGATACACCCCCCGAAACCCAAAGGGAACGACCCGTATATCCCCATCTGGGGGAGTAGGTCGGCCAGTGGGACCCGGGCCACGCCGCTGGGGACGGGGATTGGTCCAACGAGATGCAGAAGTGCGCGAAGAGATTGGCGCGCGCCGCGCACCGCCGGGGGGCGCGGTGCGTGGAAGTGGGCGACCTTGAAACATTGATCCCGATTGTGAGGGTTTTTTCATGTATGATTTTGCCGATCCGCGCGGGCCCTCGCACCCCCCCCCTCCCCCCCCGTGGAGTAGATCTTGGCTGCTGTCTGGCGCCTGTTTCGGGCAGGCGGGGTCCCTCCCCCAGAGGACGCGCTCTTGCAAACAGCCGCGCTGGGCAGAGGTCTGGAGCCAGGCCCCCTCCCCCCCCTCGGGTTGGCCCAAAAGGGGGTCCAGCGACAAGGGGGTGGTGCAATAGGTTTGTGGCGTTGCACTACATGTGGGGCGTACAACACATTCTGGGGCGCAAATGTATTGGTGGATATCTGCGTGCAACGCACTACTTGCAATACAAGTCAGTACAATCCTCCGACGCAGTACGTTTGGAATCCAGTTGCCCGAAATCTATTGCACTTGGACGCCTTTTTGGGTCACCCAAACCCCCTCCCCCCTTCCGCCCCATGTCGACACGCCGAAAAAACGTTGACAAATTGTGGCCGGCTGGATCCGGCTCGAGGCTCCGAGGTTCCGACGAGCTAGTGCGGCACGGCTGGGCTGCGGGGCGTCGTGTGTGGCCCCTGGGTGCTCTCCAGAGTGCAGCCATGACCGCCCGCACCTCTGGCCCAGCTCGCACGCGCCGCCGTGCCGTGCCCCCGCTGACACTGCCCGGTTGAGAAGGGCCTGCTCCTGGTCGCGCGCCGGAGCTTTTGCCTTGGCACGCGGCATGCTCTGACTGGCGTCGCGCTCATTCCCACAGTGAGGGGAGCCTTCCTTGTCCCCAGGACGCGTTGGCGCATTGGGCCCCAGCCTGGGTGCCGTGAGCGCAGCCTGACCGCGCTCGTCGGCCACGAGGCTCCTCGGTGGACCCCTCCCCTTTTCTGGTGACGCCCTGCCTCTGTGACAAGCCGCATGGGGGGGGGGGCTCATGCCCACGGGCAGGCCCGCCCCGCACCAGACGCTGGATTGTTTCTCCTCGGTGACGCGCTTGTTCTCCTCCTTTTTATCCTAACGGGATGTATCTCAGCTGTATCAGGACGTATTGACGCGGTCTTGAAGGCATGCTGATGCTGACTCCGATGGTGATGGTGATAGGGATCTTCATCATGATGCGGCTGCGGGCGCTTGTGATGATATATGGTGATGATGTTGCTGCCAGTGATGAGGATGACATTGGGGATGTGAATGCGGTTCAACTTGCAAGGGATCGTTGTTGCCAGGACCTACATCTGGCCTCGGGGACGCGAATCTGATATCACTTATGAACGAAATGTGGCCTCGAGGTTGCGAAGATTCCACCATTAACCAGCATCGAAGCCTCGGGCACAGCACTTGTGCGTATTTGCAAGCGATCATTGCCTCGGGGACGCGAGCACAGCGTAAGTTGCGAGAGACGCAACTATTGTGGGTTTTACATGGGCTTATGCCCTCGGGGATGCGAATCTCGGGTGTTTTACAAAGGTTGATGGCTTCGGGGGCGCAGATCTTATATCTCATCTACGAGCGATGATGGCCCCGGGGACGCAAGGCCTGCGTAATTAGATGGAAGAATGATTTCGGGACGCAGGGGTGCAAAGATGGTATAATTTACTAGGGCCTATGGCTCCAGGGTCGTGAGTACGTCGCAACTTGCAAGGGTTTCTGGCCTCTGGGACGCACTTGACGCGTGCTCTACGAAGGGTTACGTCATCGGGAGCTTCACAATGGTTGTAGCCTCAGGCACGCGAATTTAGTGTAACATGCAAGGGTTGATTGCCTCTGTGGCGCAAATCTGGAGTATGATTATGTGTCCCGCGGCCTCGCAGGAATTCTGAGGACGTGATGTTGGGACGCTGTCGGGGCGTTTGTCGGCTCCCCCCTTCTCGCGCGGACTTCGACCATTTATAGGAGGAATTAGGAACTCTGGCTACAACATTCGAAACTGGAAACTGGAACTTGCGCAGGGAGCAGCAAGCCTGATCCGTGCAGGCAAAAGGAGGTTGCGGACTTCGAGGGAAGGGAGCGCTGTCGAAGAGGGGGGAGTGGCTCCTCAGGAGCTCCCGGAGTGGGTCTTGCCGGACGCGAGCTGCCTGTGGATGTCAAAGGCCCAGGGAAGGACGCGAGATTGCCTGTCGATGCCTGTGACCATCAGGCGGATCAACTTGCTCGAGAGGCAGGTCGTGGTGGTCTTCGAGGCTGACGGGTCCCAGAAGGTGGTACCCTTCAGCGATTTCAAGGACCACGCTCGTCCTGCCCCAGGGGTGCCTGGGGAGGCCGGGGGCAACCAGGAGGCGATCCACTTGCGCTCAGCACCCTGAGCTCATTCTCCAGATTTGCCTTGCCAGGTCCAGTTTAGGGCGACGAGGTCTGTCCCCAGACATGCTCGCGCCGTGGAAAAATCGGGCGTTGAGGATTTTCGTTATTTGCGGCCTCCCAGGACACTCGCCGGGCCCCAGGATCGTCAAGAAAACTATTCAGGAGAGGCTGTTATAGACTCGGGCAAGTTTACTTGAATGGCATTCCCCCACCCACCCCACCCTCAACACCCCCTCCCTCCCGCCGCCTTTTCCAACAGCGCTGGGCCGAAGTGGCGTGCAAGTATGGCCCGACCTGCGTGAGGTCCAGATTCCCTGTCGGGCCTCACCAGGCCTCCCCCCCCCCTGATGCAAGCAACCGTGCCAGAATCTAGCCCAAGGCAGCCTCGGGTGAAAACCCCGCCCCGGAGAATGGGTCGGGACCCCAGGGAGGCCGCGTGTATGGAAGCAGTCAGGACGTCGCAGAGCTGGGCCCATGTCCACCGCCGCTGGCCAGGCCCAGGCTGGGCCTGGCCAGCGGTGTTATCGCTCCGGGGTCCAGCATGGGCCTGGCCAGCGGCGGTGGATCTGGAGGAGGAGGAGGAGGAGGAGGAGGAGGAGGTGGTGGAGGAGGAGGAGCGGGAGAAGGGGGAGGAGGGGGGGGAGGAGGAGGAGGAGGAGGAGGAGGAGGAGGAGGAGGAGAGGAGGAGGAGGAGGAGGAGGAGGTCTCGTCGCCCTGAGGTCGTACTTCCCAGGGTTCCCAGCCCCCCCCACCGTGGGGCAGGAGGGGCGGCACACGCCAGGACAAGGACACGTGCCCTCTGCGGCCCGCGGAAGACGTGCGTCCTGGGGCCGACTTCGGCGCGCGCTGGTCGGAGGACATCACCCCCTGCGTGTCCATCTCAGGGGAACGAACAATAGCACAAACATAGAAACTCGGAGCTCCGCGCGGTTCTCTCGGATCGGCGCTGGGGCCGCCTGGCGGCGCCTCCGGCGCCGCCCCTGGCGTGCTCCGCGCGCCAGGGAAGGGGGTCCAGCGCGGATCCAAGAAATCCGCGCGGAGCTCCGAATTGTTATGTGTATGTCTCTGTCCGTTCCCCTGCATCAGCTCCGTGCAGGACCGGAAAGACGTCCCGCCGACCCAGCGCGTGGAGGACCCAGGGGCGGCGAGGGGGGAGGAGCGAGCGGATTTGGGGCGTGTGCTGTCTCGTTGCTGTGGCCACCCCTTCTCCGTGGCCTTCCGGGCTCGGGCCGGCCTCCTGCAGCCGCGCCTCGCCGGGAGCGTCGCGGGGGGCGCCCGCGTCGTTCGGGACGGCCGCCCCAGAGTCGAGCCACGACCCTCGGCCTCCTCCTC